GATTTTTAAAGCCCCTCTTATAAGTTCTAAGATATAGAATTTGGCCAACTAAAAAAAAATCCTAAAAAGAAAAATGACTCATATTTGTAGATTTGCCAACACAAACCCACCTCACATCACCAATGTTCCCATTCGATTTTCTTCTCCCTCTGAAATATGACCAAGCAACGTAGGATTATCTGACACTCTGAAAATCCAATTCTACAAGGAAGCAACTGGAAGAAAATGAGGTTGTAGAGAGAAACATGTACTCAAAGGGATGATATCAAATACTGCCACCGTGATACAGAACAGAATTTTCATGGCTTGTGCTCCCCTAGTTTTTTATCATCTGTTTTTAATCTTTTACATCATTTTTTGGGCTTTTTTTCCTCCCAAAGATTATGGTTCAACCTCTCAAAGCATTATGAGAATTATACATGTGGATGTTCCTTTTGTATAGGTGTTTTCTTATGTTTGTTCTCTGACTGATACTAAGCTTGGTCACAGATATAATGGAAGTATTTGCTGGAAAAGTGTGTGATGTGCATTTGGACAGGAGCCCAAGGGAGACTGAAGTTTGCTGTCTTAAACACCTGTCATAAAATATTATCTTGTGCCATAGAAATATAAGCAATTAGCCAGCACATAAAAAGGTGCCCCCACTATTAGTCATCCCGGAAATGCAAGTTAAAATTACGTGATGGCTCTGCACACCTTCCAGAATGGTTACTTTTAAAAAATGGGCATTAGGAGGCATTAGAGACTGGTGGAGAATATAAGTTGGTATAAGCATACTGGCGGGTAAATTGACCGCTCTTGTTAAACTTGTATTTGCATTTACTCAGAAATTCTGTTGTAGTGTTACAGGACAAACTGAAGGATAGCTCAGACCCCAAGCTCCCTTGTGCTCAGTGGGTTCTGCCATCTGCTGCATAAAGACAGACATACTCTTAGTGTATAAGACCTTCAATAAAAAGAAATTTAATACAATTAGTATGCAGTGGAGAGAAGAGAAAGAATATAGTTAAAATGGTTTCCACATGAAACACAAAAGTTAGCCATCCCCTCATCAGCAAGTGCTCGGCCACAAAGGGTTGGCCCAAAGCGGGGCCCCTGGGGCCCAAAAGCCTGCCACAAGGCTAAGGCGCTATCGGTGGGGACCATAGGAAGGGGAAGAAGGGGCCAGGCAGCTGTGGGCCTAAGAAAGCAAAATCAAAACCCAAGTGTGCCAGTGTCAGCCCCCCACAGGTGTCTCACCTGCGTCTCTGTCTCTTTCAAGTGTCTCCACCCACGTGCCCCAGGTCCCTGGTACAAGCCCAAGGCCGAGAAGCAAGCGTGGCTTCTTCACAGGTTTCTCTGCTCCATGTGCCTCCTCCAGTCTTCTTCCTCCATCTCCTTCTGCTTCTTTGAGTTCTTTGCCCAATCTTTTCCAACTTCAACTCCCTGCCCAGTTCTACACTTCCTTAGGGCTAGGCAGGGAACCTGGAACCTCCCTTTTCCCTGGGGATTACAGTTACACAGTGAGGACTGACTAGTTATGCTTGGGTCATCCACACATTTCTGAGTCAGTCACTGTGGCTAGGGAGATTTGACTCTCTGATTAGATGGACAGGTCATAGGGAAACTGTGAGGTTGTGTTAGGAAGGGATCAGGCAGTGAATCACCCACAGTAAAGAAAGTCTCTTTTGTAACAAAGAAGGGGGAGTTAGGAAAAGTCTGTGAACATGTGTACTAACATTACCAGTCTACACCGAAGAAGTAACTTGTGAACACTCTCCACCCAGTGCTGTATCTACTGTGATTTCATCACAGCTTCCTAAATCAATGGGTACATATTTTTCAAAATCAACTTGGAGTGTGGTAAAAGAATGCCTAGTTCTCTTTGGTTACTGAAATATATGACCTTGTTCTGTTAAGGAATTTTGTAGTGGTTTTAAGTATGCCCAACAAAATGTCTCCAATTCATGTTCTAACTGATAAAATGTTCGAGTTAGTAGAGTCAAGTTCTTGGCAACTGTTCCAGTAGAAACACAATGGATTATTTTGAAGAAATCCCCACATTAAAAAATTTTTTTTTGTTTATCTTTATGAGGAAGAACTGGGGTGTAGGCCAGAGGTGTAGGGGATGAGAAGATTCACCAGAGACAGTGGGGAGCAGAGCAGGCAGATCTACTGAAATACACTGCTGAGGGGAGCAGCAGACAAGACAGGAGAGGTCTGCTGTACCATGTGGGTCAGCTCCCTGGCTGGGATCAAATGCAGGCTATCTCAGTGGTAGCACTAAGACTTAAAGTAGTGTACTAAAACTTAACCTGTTGACCACCAGGGAGGTCCTGAAATTCCCATAATTTATCTTCAGCAGCAGAAGTAGTTCATGCTTACCTTAGATTATACTGATTACTGTTATATTTTAATACTGGAATTCTAGATACTTTATTTTTAATAATTATAACATGATTCATATCTCAAAATATCTAGTTCCTTACAATAATGTTTATTAGCTCAGAGCTTAAAAATATCAGCCAATTTCATATCTTATCAAAAAGATAATTGGCTGTACTATGGTGAACTTTGGCCTAATTTAAACCTTGGTACTCAGTTTTAAATACTGGCATTCTATGGCTGGCCTACTAAGTACAAGTAACCCTTAGGAAACTTAGCCTAAAGATTTGGTATGTGTTAGTGACTATAGATTTCCCCTATAATGTAAGAAACTGGCTCATCTACAGTCTTTTGTTTTTAACCAATGAACAAACTACTAGTCAGAAATCATTCTACCTCTACTTCCACTACAAAAATGGCCAGCAACTACTACCTTATTGAATCCAGAAGCAGAAAGTTATTTGCTTCTCCTCCACCTGCCTGATTACCCACTCCAACCTCCAAGAGGTAGAATTGTATTGGGAGCTTGGTTGCATAAGAACCTGGGAAAGTAATTTATATACTCTGGGTCCCTTGTGGTACAAGATTATAAAAGGGCAAGTGTAGAAATGAACAATGACAGGTAAATAAGCTCCAGAGAGTCAAGAAGCAGAAGTCCAGTAGGAATTAGTACTACTATATGTAAAGAATATATTACACCTTAATGGGAAACAAGCCAAAAAGAGATCTACAGAATAAAGCCATGGTCAGTTGTGTCAACTGTTGCTGAGATAAGAGGAGATGTGAGAATGACCTCATTTGGATTTGGCAACCACGAAGTGGGGGGAAAAGTCTGAAGTAGAATCCCACTCTGGAGACAATCTGCTATAAAGAGGAGCAGGCAATGATATGGTAGCTGGGGAGCGATCTGCAGCCATGGGCTGCCAGTGATGATGTTCCTCTGCCTAACATGGAGGATAAGTACGGCCTGGCTTCCTGCCCTCAGGGCACTAACCTGGGAGGACTCTCTCTTTTTTTTTTTTCTTTAAACATAGTTGTGCATTTTTGTACAGTATTTGATTTCTTCCCTCAGGTGTAGAATCCTTAGTTCTCCCACCACCATATCACCTATAAATCATCACCCTATTCCCTGTGTTCTTCCCTCCTCTGTTTTGACGCCTTTCCTCACTCTCCCTTGTGAGGAAAGATCTATGGTCAGCTTACTAGTTTTGTCTTTTTTTCTTGACCTTATATTTGGTTTCTCTCTATTCTACATATAAGTGAAACCATCTGATATTTATCTTTTTCCTTCTGGCTTATTTTGGCTAGCCAGTTCCATCCATGCTGCCACAGTGGCACGAGTCTGTGTTTTTTGTTCACGGAGTAGTATTCCATTGTGTAGATTTACCACAACTTTTGGACCCATATGTCTCTTGGGGGCACTTAGGTTATTTTCATATCTTGGCTACTATAAAATAGTGCTGCAGTAAACACAGGAGTGAAGGTTTCATTTCACAAATTAGTGTCTTTGTGTTCTTTGGGTAGATTCCAAGGAGTGGCATATCTGGATCATATGGTAGATCTGTTTACAGTGTTCTGAGGGTCCTCCACACAGCTTCCCATAGTGGCTGGACCAGTTTACATTTACCAGTTTACCAGTAGCGTAATAGGGTTCCTTTCCCCTCACATCCTTGCGAGCATTTGTGGTTTCCCGTTTTTTGTCTTTTTTTTTTTTTTTTAAATGTGGGCCATTCTCACTGGTGTCAGGTGGTATTTCATTGTGGTATCGATTTGCACTTCTCTGATAATTAGTTAGGTTGCACATTCTGGCCATTTGCATTTCTTCTTTGGAGAGGTGTACCTTCAGTTCTGCCTATTTTTTAACTTACTTGTTTTTGTTGTGTGAACACTGTTGTACATCTTAGATATCTGTCCCTTATCTGTTGCATGGTGTGCAAATATTCTCTCTCATTCTGCAGGATGGCTCTTCCTTTCTGTCTCTTGCTGTACAGAAGCTTTTTAGTTTTATGTAGTCCCAGCTATTTATCTTCTCCTTTGTTTTGGGAGGACAGTCTTGAAATCTACCCAGGCTGCATCAAATTGGGGCAACTGATAGTGAGGGAAGGAGCTGGGTCGGCTGACCAGAGGAGAAATGCGCCTTCTTCACCAGACCATGGCTTGGGGCCCCAGGGTTCACGCAGCACTGGGTGGTGGGGTCCACTTCCCACAGACGCAGAGGCAACGCCGTGCGCTTTCGGTGGCACCGAGCCTCCTTCCTGTTTGTTCTGCCACATCTGATTACTCCGGGCTGGAGCAGGGAGGACGAGCCCATTCCCGGCGTTCCATTAAGGCCGCGTTCCATTAGGGCTGCGTTCCATTAGGCTCTAGGGACCAGAGCTTCCAGTTTGTTTCTTTTCAGCGCCTCAGCCTTTCGCCCTCGGCGCCTCATCCCCAGTCCTGGAGACATCCAGCGGCTCTCTTCACCAGCATGGTCCCCCTAGGCCTGGGTACACCCCCGCGGCGTGCAAACTCCCGGGGCAGCGGATCCCACAACTCATCCCAGTGTCAGATTCCCCGGAGGGCTGGAGCTGCTTGGGCGGGGCCGGGGCGGGGCCTCCGCCTGCATCACGTGACTCGCCCCGGCCAATCGGCGCGTGGGCCCGGGTCGAGGCCGGCACCTCCGCGTCACTGTCCGGTAGTTGGCATCCGGCGGGCGTAGAGGACCGCGCTGCGGGGCGAGCTAGCGAGCGAGACAGGTACGGCTGCGGGTCGGCGGTGGGGGTCTGCCTGGCGGGAGGGAAGAAAAAGAAGACGGCACCAGCCCCTCCGGCCCTGCACGCCCGCTGCAGCCGGGCGGCGCCTCCCGACTTCCCTTTCTCCTTAGGACGAGGCCATGGAGCGCGAAGTCCAGCGGGTTCGAGACGCGTTCCGGTCGGGCCGGTCGCGCCCCCTAAGGTTCCGGCTGCAGCAGCTTGAGGCCCTGCGGAGGATGATGCAGGAGCACGAGAAGGACATCCTGGCGGCTATCGGTGCTGACCTGTGCAAAGTACGCGCGCGAGGGAGGAGCGTGCGCCCCACGTCCCACTTTAGCTTTTTGCATTTAAAAACTTTGATTATGCAAGCACTGTGGGAGTGTTATGTGGAGCAGTGCGGATTAAGCGCACGATTCCCCCGACTTGGCCAGTCAGCCTATCTTGCCTAGCCAGTCCTGTTGTGTGTATTTCTTCTGTGCAGACACAAAAGTGCGTGTTTCTGGGCCCGAATTCCTCTTTATGTGAATTGCTTTTTGTGTTCTTGGCTGTTTTGCTGTTGCATTTATGACCCTTTTCCTTATTTCGAGGAACGCTATTTATTCGGGGTCTCTGTCATTTCATATGTTGCAGATAATTGTCTCCGGGTCTGTTTATTGCCTTTTAACTTCATGTATGATAGCTTTGGTAGACAGAGGGGTTTTTGGTTGTCATTGTTGCTCCCAAATTTTCTTCCATTATTTTGTTTTAGGTTAGTGCTCCTCACTCCAGTGAGCTGGTTAATCATTTGGGGATCTTGTTAAATTGCAAATTATGGCTGATTTGGGCTAGAAAAGGAGTCCGAGATCCTAAATTTCTAATGAGCTCCCAGATGAGACTATGCTACCTGTTTTGGAGCTATGCTATGAGTAGCAAGGTGCTATGAAGTAGTGTTTAGGATATAAATATATTTTCTAATATTATTATGTTTTTAATTTTCTTTCCAAGAGTAACAAGACCCTGCTCTGACTTTGTCAGTCTTTTCTGCTACTCCCCAACCAGAGTAGCAACATTAGTTAACTATAAAATTTCATTTATATCACTTTTGGTGAAGAGGAAGTGGTAAAAGTAAGATACTTAAGAAGTCTGAATCATTTGTTCTGTAAGTATCAAGTGTTTGTGTGAATATGTGATATAGGATCACTAAAGAAATACAGTAAATTTCTTGCCCTTCAAGGTTTAAAATTTGGAAAACAATTTGCATAGCAGTTTGGCAAAACATATATACAGCGTAGCATAATTATAAACTAGTGTACTGTGGGTGAAATACTAATATATAAATCAAAAGCACAGTTGCCATAGGGTATGATCAAGGCAGATCACTATCCATCAGGGAAATCTTCCAGAAAGAGACACCTTTTAAACCTAGTTGTAAATGGTTTGTGTCTGAAGGGTCTTTGAGGAATTAAATATTAGGGAGTTAACACCTCCTTATTGAGGATTTGGAGCATGCAAAAGGAATCTGAGTGTCAGACCAGCTGGTCTGATAATGGTAGTTGTCACTGTAGGTGTGCTTGACCTGCAGTCCCAGGCATTTAGGGCTGTGTGTGTCACACTCCTGCAAAGTTAACTGTGATTCTTTAACAACAGAGTGAACTCAATGCATACAGTCATGAACTTATTACTGTCCTTGGAGAAATTGATCTTGTCCTGGAGAAGCTTCCTGAATGGGTTACTGCTGAACCAGCTAAGAAGAACCTACTCACGATGATGGATGAGGCTTATGTTCAACCAGAGCCCCTGGGAGTCATACTGATTATTGGAGCTTGGAACTATCCCCTTGTTCTGGTCATTCAGCCTCTGATAGGAGCCATTGCTGCAGGTCTGGTGTTAGCTGATATCTTTGTACCTATTGGGACTTATCCTCTCATTGGTTGTAAATTAAGGATAGTGACATTAGCCTTGTTTTACACTGGCAGTTGAAAATTCATGAATATATTGAGAATTCATGAATATATTTTTTAAATGGACTCTGGAGGATATTCGTGTGGCAACTATTTCTTGAAACACACAAGGAATGAACCTGTGAGACCATAGAGGTGTCTGAGTCCAGACGTTTGGAGTCAGGCATCCATAGTATAATGTGATTTTCGTTGCCAGTTCTGACTGTAAATAAGCTCTTTGATTCTGTCTGACCAGTTTCCTCATTTAGAGAAGGCGGTAATGCTTGGCTATATAGAAAGTGCTAACAGATTATTTTATCACTTCTTTGAGATCCAGCTCAACAGTTGTTTTTTTTTTTTTTTTAAGATTTATTTATTTATTCATACAGAACTGGAGTACAAGCCAGAGGTGCAGGGGGTGAGAGGCTTCACCAGAGACAGAGTGGAGAGCAGAACAGGCAGATAGAGGAAGTACACTGCTGAGGGGAGCAGCGGGCGAGTCAGGAGAGCTCTGCCCTGCCATGTGGGTCACCTCCGGGGTAGGGGGATCAAACTTGCACTGAAGTAACTGCAGCTAGCTTGCAGTGCTGCGTCCTAACCTGTTGTGCCACCAGGAAGGGCCCCCACACAGCTCAACAGTTTTATCTTGATGTAACTTGTTTGGCCCATCATTCCAAGGACAAATGAAAAAAGTGAGAGGAAATTGGAGGACTGGGGAGACTGATAGAACCTATTGTTAATGACCTGAAGATAATGAGAAAAGGTGCTTATTTTGGGAAAGAGCAGAATTCAGAGCTGAAAAAATAATTGGAGTGTTTATCTTGCCTGTACTCTCCACGTGAACACTGTTTTGGTTTTTAAGTTACTCTAGTTTTAAAAGATACCGTTCTGCTTTTTGCTTTGCTTAGGAAATGCTGTGATTATGAAGCCTTCTGAACTAAGTGAAAATACAGCCAGTATCTTGGCTAAGCTCCTCCCTCAATACTTAGATCAGGTAAGAACTCCTCCATTCATGTTCAGCATTTCTGTTTATTGTGGGCAACTCCCACTTGGTCTTCTAGTTTTATGTGTCACTGAGCACTGGAGATTTGTTTTCATTTCTTTAAGCCTGTATTGACTTGGTCAGAGATGTTAAGTTCCAAAATAAACTGTGGAATGGCTCACCTGTTGTGGCTACACTATATGCTTAGGCCCCTGGCTTTAAAGGAACACCTCTCATTTTGCCATAGTCATCCTCTTCTCCTGTTTGACATTTTGAATTAACCCTTGTTTGATCTCACAGAGTTTTAGGTCTATTCATGAAGTGAGTTATTTAATGAGGACGGTACTGTATTGGGTACTGATAACCTCTTGTCAAAATGGGGTTTGGTTATGTAAGAACACTTCTGCTTTTAGTGGACAGGCTTGTTTGCATGAGAATTACAGGAAGAAAATGGCCTCTTCACTTAGATTAAGATGCTGGTATTGAAGAGTATCAAAAGCTGAATAAAAAACATGTTCTCATCCCTAGATGAGATCTCACCCATCCATGATCTCAGTTCTGTCCAAACCAGCCTGTTTTCATGCCCTTCTAGGGATGAAATTCATGATGCTCCGTGAAGTTGGGCCCCTTAGTTATCCATGGAGTCGCTGCAAGAATCTTTATGTCGCTTTCACTGAAAGGCAGTTTTAAAATTTTATACCTGAAATTGTACATTTTAATTTATAATAGTCTAGAGGCCAGCTCTGGCTCTTATAATAACAATGGTCTCTGTTACCTTATCACTGTTAAGGCAGGTCACAGAACAGTTTTACTAATTGTTCTAATAGCTGTTTCTATCTAGTTCAGAAGAGTGATGAAGACAGTGAGATATCAGGGATTGAGTAGAATTAGGAGTAGAGATTTGAAGGTCCTGCTTTGTCCCTTATTATGAGTAAATTCTTTATTTTTGTCCTTATGGAGTTAATAATGCCAGCCCTGTCTCACTTAGGTTGTTGGGGACCCAGTCACATATGCTCTGTAGATTAAGCCACATGCAAGTTAAAACTTGGGCAGTTGAACTGGGAAACGAATGAGAATGAGCCCTCCTAATTAGCAGGAAGTGAAATGAAAACATGAGTTTACAAAGCCAACTTTTACTTCCTGCTACACCTCATAATCTTATTTTGTCATTTTTTTTTTAACCTCAGAATCTTTTGAACATTTCCTCTGACTTCCTTGCCATCTCTTCTCTGTCATTGTTTTTCTTGCTGTTGTTATTATTCATGCTGTTGTTGTTATTGTATTTCATGCTGTTGTTATTATTATCTTTATTGACTAAAGATATCACAGGACATAAAAAGGTTCAGTCCAAAGCAAGTAGACGAGGAATCTGAGGCTCAGAGACTGTCAGTAGTGGCCAAAGGTCACCTAGTGAGTAGTAAAGCCCAGATTCAGCCCGGATCTGGCTTCCGGAGTGAGTGCTCTTGCTCTTGCTCGTGGCTAAGCACTTCTTGCGCAGATGTTTGCTTGATTCCGACTGTAGGCCAAGCTCCGTGCAGTGTTGGGTATAGAGAAAATGTTCAGTGAAGATGGATCATCTGGGACCTGGCCCGTGGTCACTGACGATGGCTGGTCACTGACGATGGCTGCTTTCACTCCAGTGTCCTCGGCTTCCACCCCACCCCGCTTTTCATGCATTTCCCTGGTCAAATTCAGCCATTGATTTCCTTTGTGTTTTTAACCACTGAGCTCATGTGGAAAACATCAGGCTCTCTTAAGTCAGTTGCTGTTTCTCAGATGCCATCAGACACCATCAGTCTTCCCCACTGTCCTCAGTCAGCTGCCTCTTCTGTCCTCACAGGGTCCAGTCTCCATGTTCCCCTGTCTTTTATATGTCTGTGGTGAAGAAATTGTTCATGTTAAATGGTAGGGTTAGTTAACTCTACTGGTAGTATTTATGTATTTCTTTTTTAAGGATCTGTATGTCGTTATTAATGGTGGTGTTGAGGAAACCACAGAGCTCTTGAAGCAGCGCTTTGACCACATTCTCTATACGGGAAACACTAATGTTGGAAAAATTGTCATGGAAGCTGCTGCCAAGCATCTGACCCCTGTGACTCTTGAACTAGGAGGGAAGAGTCCATGCTATATTGACAAAGAGTGTGACCTGGACGTTGCCTGCAGGTGAGACTCACCTTCCAGTTAGCTGGTGTTTTCCTAACACAGTGAAGATTTCCCCAACAGGCGGGTATATATTCCCTTTGCACTTGAACCCTAGGTGTTCTGGCTTTTTAAGTTTTCATGGTTGGTGTTCTCAAGGGTAAAGAATTCTTTCACAAATTGTCTTTTGGTGCCACTGTCTGGAAAAATGTGCAGTAGGTCTTGAGATAAAATGGTTGTCCTTAGGTGTTATGAAATGATTTTTTCTAAATAATAGATCTGACGAGAAATTGTACTGTTATGTGGGCAGATGAAATAGGAAGTAGATAATGCAAGGGATTGTGTATGCCTAATACAATCTTTAAATCCCCAATAGAATGTGTATCATGTTGATTTCTTAACTGAGTTTCTTTGTTGACAAAACCAGTATTACCATTCTTTTAACTGAGAATAGTATCTTTTACCTGGAAACCAGAAAGGAAGAGGTTTCATGTTCTCTACTAAATCAGTTTAGTTACCAGGATGTGCCAAAACCCTGAATTGACTGTTTGCTTAGGCTTTTCCTCCTCTTCAGAGGTAGTGGGGTGCAAAGAGGAGATACAGGGAAGTAGTTAGGTCAGGATACAGGTTGCCATTATAGGTACAAATGTAATTGCCAGAACACGATGAAATTGAAGCAAACCCAGGGGGATCACTAGGGTCCTCACCCATGTGCTTATGACGCAAAGCAGGTACATGTAAGACAGTAATAGCAGGATTAATTTACACCGGGAATGAGGAAAAAAAGGGGATAAGGGTAAGGGAGAGTATTCACAGACTGGCAAGTAACCAGATGTTCTCTGCCCTACCCAAAGTGATATCTACCGAGCAGAAACCAAGATACATACAGAAGCTGCATGTGGGAAGCTGGTGGCTTCTCTCCCAACACCCTTCCTCACCAGTACTTTAACCACCAGAGCTCCAGTAGCTTACCTGCCAGAAGTCCCACAGTTGAACTGATCAAAAGCCTCAGCAGTTTAATTGCCAAAAAAACTACTCAGTTTTTCTGACTAAGAACTCAGCAGTTTAAGTGCCAACAACCTCAGCTCTGCCCCTTTTCTTAGTAGCCACCGCTTGGCAGGAGGAATTTGAAAAGCTCCACCTTCTACCACCAAATTGACTTCAGGGGTGGAGTCTAGAACATTCTACCTTGTACCATAGAGCTGGCTGAGAGCACTAACAATTGGCCCCGAGTTTGTTCCTTACTGTCCCTCTTACAATGAGACCCTCAGATAGTGAGCTTCCAGACCATGTACTTCATTCCATATATAAGAATGACTTCCCGAAGTGGAGAGGGACTCCCCATAGAAGAGGATGATCTTAGAGATTGACTGCTGTTCTGCTTTACACCTGAACATCTTGCTAGCAGGACCCAGTGCTACAGCCAGCAGAGGTAGAGCCTGTTAGAACTCCTGCGTCCACAGTATTCTCTTGATGGAGCTGGAGGAGGAGGAGGGCGTTGGAAGGTGGTTTCTCTTTTCCTGCAGCAGCCACTGACTACAGTGCTTATAAACTACTATTTCTCATGAGCAGAGTAAGAACTTCCCCTGCTCCTGAAAATATTTTATGTCAGTTGAAAACTAGAATTCTAAGTTCCAACCAACCAACCAATTTGGAGATGAGTTTTTAAAGATTATGAAGTGATCTTGCTACTTGTGAAACCTTCAAGCAATACAAAAGTATGTAACAAATGAATAGTTGACTGAATTACATAGTTATTTGAGATTTTCCCCTTGCCCTCAGACGCATAGCCTGGGGAAAGTACATGAATTGTGGTCAAACCTGCATTGCTCCCGACTACGTTCTCTGTGAACCATCTCTCCAGAATCAAATCGTGCAGAAGATTAAGGAGACAGTGAAGGTTTGTATTTGACTCCATTGGTTTCATGAAATACGAATTCAGACTGTTTGCTGAGAGCATCCCTATTCCCAATCCCTGCCCCAGGCAAATTCCAGTAGCATATGTGACTGGATTTGTTGCTATTTAAAAATTCTCTGTATACTTTTCATAGAATGTCTTCTGGGAGCAAGGTTAGACTGTGTTAAAACCACTTGAACTGTTTAGTTGACTGATGTAATGACTGACTTGTTGTGATATATGAATGAAATAATAAAAGCATGGGTTTTGTCTTGAGAGAATGTTGTCAGTCCTTTGAGGTATAAGCAGAGGCCCCTTGGTATTGCATTGGCAGAAAAGTCATGACACATTTTTGCGTAGAAAGAATATATCGTGACTTCTCTGACAACCAATATATTGGCCATTGCTCTTAGGTTCCTATGTAGGTAGAGGGTGTAGTAAGGTCAGTGGTTTGGAGGAGTGAGTTAACTAAATATCTATTCAAGAATCATGTTCTTGGCATGATTACTAACTTGCAGGTGTTTGAAGATCTCTTCTAAGGGAGTAAAGGAAGGCTGCATGGTAGTGTCCTGAGTTAGACCTTGAAGACTTATGGGCTTTGGATTGGAAGAAAGGAATGGGCCCCACCAGTGTGACCCTCTGGGTGAAGAAATTATTGGAACCATTGTTGTTTACCCAACAGGTGCTAATTAAGCACAGAAGTAAAGGATCAAGAATGCTAAGAGTAACCATTACGGTCAGAAAATGAAGTTGTGTGTCAGGAAAGTAGAGTAGTCCAGGCTGGTCACTGGGCATGAGATGCTCAGTCTTAGTGTGGGAATTGTACATCTCTTAAGAGAAAGTCAGGCCTAAAGAACATGGAGGGAGAATTGTCCAGATCCGGGGGAAATAGTGTGGCACAGAGAGGGGTTCATGAAAGATTCCTGTGAGACTGGAAATACATGGGAATCTGAAAAGACTTGCTTATTTACGTGCGGTTACTGACTTTGGTCAGGTTCAAAGGAGAAAGACATCCTCTGCCTTCCTTTGATTCTTGTATACTCTTAGCATAGTGGTTCTCAACTGAGGTTCACAAGAGAGCCATTTATGAACAGTTCTCAGTCCTCGTTTTCCAAATATTGTGATTTGATTGGTCTGGGGCTCCTGTGATTTGTAATGCACCACCAACATTGACAAACCCTGTTAGTGGCCTGGAATTGTGACCCTGGAACGTGAGTTTTAATATGTTGGGTGAGTCTTAACCTCCTGGGTCTGAGGCTGGTGGTGGTGGGTGAGTGAGTGATTTGATTTGAGAATAAATTGAGAACTCTGACAAGATTTTGTAGTGTTGTAGTCTTACAGCATTTTGTATGTGTTGTACAGAATAAACTTTGTATGACTTCTGGAGTTCTTTCACCAGAAGAATTTTTGATTTTTTTTTTTTTTTGAGTGGCTTCACTGTCATCTATGACTGGTAGAATTACCAATCCAGAGAAGATAGAAAACAATAAAACCATGCAGAGCTCAGCACTCTTTCTCTAACGGGATAAGTAGTCCATATTTTAGGACTTGCAGTCATAGGATCTCTGCTGCCACGCCCCAGCTCTCATTTCAGGAGGAGAGTAGATCTCCTCCACATCTTCTCTCACGTTCACTCCATATGACTCCTGCCCCGGAACTGAAAAATGATGGACCTGTGTGTGCTCTTGAATTTGTATCCTTGGCCTGCCAAAAAGCTCAAACTTACTGTGATTTTGCTCCTCATACAGTCCATGGGGAGTGGGGTGTGCGTGTCTGGAAGATAGAAAGCAGATCGATTTGGGGGACTGAGTAGATTTTATACTTATTAAATTGAAATACAGGCCTTTTGTGAGAATTAAATACTGTTGTTTTAAACAGGAATTTTATGGAGAAAATATCAAAGAATCTCCTGATTATGAAAGGATCATCAATCTTCGTCATTTTAAGAGGATTTTAAGTTTGCTTGAAGGACAAAAGATAGCTTTTGGTGGGGAGTCTGACGAAGCCACACGTTACGTAGGTAATGGAACTTCACCTTTCCCAGGGGCAACGGCAGCTTGATAGTTTTTACCAACACTCTTTACTAAGAATAAATAAAATGTTATACATACTGTTTAAAAGTTACTGAACATTGCTTTTTTATGTACTGTCTTTGTTATAAACTTTTAAAAAGATGATTATTAAAGATATATTGGGGTTTTTTTGAGTGGTTTCATTATCATCTATGACTGGGAGAAATACCAGCTCAGAGAAGATAGAAAATGGCCCAACGTTCCTTTCTATAAAGGGATAGGTAGTGAATATTTTAGGGGTGCCAAATAGGCTATTCCCAATTATAGATTATCCCCTTCTAGCACAGAGACCCGTTCACATGCTTGGAGACAAATATAATTTGCACTGTTCATCCACATCTTCAGCACTTTTTTCCCAGTAGATAGATGACCTGATGAAATAAATGTAAGATGAGTTTTGCATTTCTGTTTACTTTTACATTTTCATTTTGCTTGGTATTTTTTTTCAGCCCCAACAATACTTACTGATGTTAATCCTCAAACCAAGGTGATGCAAGAAGAAATTTTTGGGCCAATTCTTCCAATAGTACCTGTGAAGAATGCAGATGAAGCCATACAATTCATAAATGAACGTGAAAAGCCTCTGGCTTTCTATGTATTTTCTCATAACAAACAGGTAAACTTGAACAGCTTATTAGCATTTGCCACTATCATAAATCATGTTTCTTAGTTACTGTAAGAAAAATAATGGTTTATTTTGTGTAATACCAGCATCCATCAAGTGAGGCTGAACTTACAGATTGCTGTCTTGGTTAATGAGGCCCTCGGGTCACCACAGTAATCTTTGCCATACTCCCTGGGGTTAGTTCTGAGTCTTCAGGGGTGGGTGTCACAATTTTTTTGGTTCATAAACACCTCCCCTATAATTGGAAGACTCGTGTGTACCAGGGCTAGAAGCTTTCCTGATGTTAATCCACAGGCCTTCCTGTGGAAGAGTCTTCCCCTCTTACTGTAACAGTATTTACAACCTTTGGGTGGGGCTGTGTGAAACAGGGATTTCTGGCACTTTTCTGGAGATGATTGTGATGTTTGGGACTTGAAACTGCGCCTTTGTTGTTAGAGTCGTAGAGCTGTATCAGCCTGGTTCACATCATTCACATCAGAGTGACCAGTTGCTGCTAAGGAATAGTGGTCTTAAGAAAAGGGGGGCAGGTAGGTTCAGGTGCCTGCTGTTCCTGAGAGGGGAAGGGAAAACAAGAAGGGGGAAGATGGCACCAATTAAGATCTGAGAAGTTCAGGGCCTCCCTCGTGGCCTACGGGTTAAGTCTCAGCACTGTCACCGCTGCAGCCTGGGTTAGATCCCCGGCCAGGCAGCTGACCACACATGGCGCAGCAGACCTCTCCTGTCTCGCCTGCTCCCCTCAGCAGTGTATTTCAGTAGACCTGCCTGTTTTACTCCTCACTCTGGTGACTCCTCTCACCACTCCCCTGCCTCCCGGCACCTCTAACTTATACTCTAGTTCTTATACAAAAAATAAATAAATAAAATCTTAAAAAAAAAAAAAGATCTGAGAAGTTCGCAAACCAAACATTTTCTAGAGAGTCCATAACATGGCAACTTCTACAGCTTGTGAAGTGAAGCCCAATGTTTAGGGCTCAGTAGGACTGGGTTATTAGTAACAATAGTTGGTTGGCATTTCAGGTGACCACAGGAAATATGGTGGGTAGGATAACAGAAGCCTCAATGACCGTCAACCAGGGTACAAGGCAGTGGGGTCACCTGTGGTAACTGTTGTCCTCTGACACTGTTTATAAAGGACTCTCAAGAGCTTGTTAGCGGCCTGCTGAAATGACATTCAGTCACTATTCAGGTATCAGGCCAGCCATTTCTTCAAAAACAGGAAATCTGAAACCTCAAATTTTGTTTGCAATTCATAAAGACTAAATGATACTACTAATCGTATGTGATCATTTAGAGCAGAGATAGGAATATTAACACTTTTTTAAAACCAGAATGTCATATGAACTGTCCCTTATTTTAAAGGACAGCTTCTTCATTGGCTGCCATTTTAGGTAGTAGCTCCAGGCGATGATTGAGTAAACAGGTTCTTCCTCAAGTGTGTTCACAAACCCCAGTAGTCTTGCCAATGTACACAGCCAGGAGGTCCTTCCTGAGAGCACACAGCCTCTATCCCAGGCACTGCTGACCTGGAGTCTTGTTCTGTTCCTCAGCTCATCAAACGCATGATTGATGAGACATCCAGCGGTGGTGTCACAGTCAACGATGTCATCATGCACTTCACACTCAGTTCTTTGCCCTTCGGTGGAGTGGGTGAGTAGTTCTCTCTCCTGCTGGCGGTCAGTATTTCAAAAACACTCTAGAAGCATCATTGCACAAATCTTTTGCTCAAGTGGTTGGCATTGCTGCTTTTGCAGGCCTCTGCTTGATCTCTTGCTTCCAAGAGGGGATTTCCCTAACCTCCCCCTGCGAGTTGTCTTCCCTCTGCCCACCAGACCCTCTGCTGAGCGGCTAATCCCTTTCCTGCCACCCACTTTCCGTCCTTAGCAGCACTTAACCACGATCTATGATTACTTTGTTCTTTTCACTGGCTTACTTGTTTATTGGTCTGCTCCCACATTTATGGGATTTTTCCAACCAACAGTCAGGTCTCAAATGAAGTCCCTCTGTCTCTCTCTTTGTTTTAGAGATCTATTTACATACAGAAGTGCTGTAAAGGCCAGAGGTGCAGAGGGTGAGAGGATTCACCAGAGACAAAGTGGGGAGCAGAACAGGCAGATCTACTAAAATACACTGCTGAGGGGAGCAGCGGGTGAGACAGGAGAGGTCTGCTGCGCCGTGTGGATCATCCCCCTGGCCAGGGATCAAATTCATGTTGAAGTGGCTGCAGCTAGCTTCATAGTGCTGCACTTTAACCCATTGTGCCACTTCCCAGTCTCTTTTTAAAGTGATGACAGGCCCAGAATATTAGGAGCAGACAGCAGGCCGAGGGTTTGAGTTCCCCTGTGCTGCCTACCCTGGTAACATCGAGTAGCCCTCAGTTCCCACCGGCAGTGCTCTCCTGCCCCTCTGCAGGGAGTGGTCTGTCCTTGAATTGTTTCACAGCTTGAGAATAAGAGACTCTTTTCCAGAGAAGTTGAGCAAAAATTCATTCTGTTGAAACTCTGTGAATACAGACTGCTCTCTTTGGGTTGTATCCTGTCTGCCTCTTTGACATCTGAAATAATTGACTCAATTTTTTATTTTTCCTTTGGAGCCTCAGTGGTGGCTAATAGAGATATTACAGAATAATGAATGTATGAAAATTCTCATAGCAAAAAGCAACTAATGAAAGCAACTGCTTTATTCTTGTCCTCTGTAATAGCATAAATCAAGTACGCCATGAGAGTGAATGGTGGCCATTTGTCAGGAACAACTGTTCTCGGTCAAGGCAAGCGTGTCCTTGTCCTGTAAGCCCTGGCTGACTTTGCATGGTTGCCACATGTATGTTTCTAGAATGTAAGTGTAATATCAGCACCTACCACTTGGCATCTGTAAAGCACAAATGGGGAGAGGCAGATCAGGGGCTATTGCAGGACCCAGAATAGGATGATGGTAGGGGAGGATATGTAGCAGGTCGGGGTGGTGTCGAGCAGCCAGATTTGCTGATGGAGTGAATGCATGGGGAGGAGAGATGGTGACTCAAGGTAAGGGTGATTTATGGGATGTAGGCTGAAGTTACTGTAGCTTCACTCCCTCAAATCTTCCAAGATTTGGTTAGATCCTGCACCCGGAGGACCCTGGCTTTTTCCACATGATGGCCACTGAAGGCTCTTTTCAAACCACGGGATGTTACTTGGGTTCAGTTGCATGAGTTGGTAGGTTTGGCATTATCTCTCTTTTTTTAGAACATAACAGAAACCTTTTGCCCCCAAATGCAAAAAGAATGCAGGCTTTTTAAAAAACCTCAGAAAAGATAGAAAAAACCCGCAGAATAAAAATGTGGATTACCTATAACCCCACTATAAAGATAACCCCAGGTACATGTTCTGAAATTTCTTATCCTTGCATCTAGTGCATACACGTAGTCACACATGTGTAACTATTTATTCCAAACCGTATCCTCTCGTGTCTTGTTTCCGCCCTGCCTTTGCCGTGGCCCGGGTCGGCTGGCCCGGGCCGGCACACGCCTTGTTTGGTGCAGCAGCTGTGTGCTGTTCTGCCGTGTGAAAGCAGCGTCTTTTCTAAACTGAGTCCTGTTACTAGGCGTTTTCATTTCAATTCTTTGTGGTGTATGATTCTTCTATATTTTTTGTGCAGGTTCTGATTACTTCCTCAGGAAAAGCATCCAGCAGTATAATTACTGTGTTAAAAGGGCTTTTACAATTTTTTTTTTTCAAAATGCTTTTTTCTTTCACTTCTAAAGTAATAATTTGGCATGTAGTTTAGATTTTTTTCTAAAATGCCTAAGCTTTTATACATATTGCCACGTTTCCTTACAGCATCAGCTGTTGCCTACGTGAGGTCCCTCAGCCCAGCCCCCAAGTTGCCCTTCTGCCACGGAGCCACGCACATGCCTCTGTCCAGCACACAGAGTAGATTAGAGAAGTGAAAACTGTCACAGCGTGTGGCTCTTTAAGAGGGCAGAGATTTACGCTTGCCCACGTCACTAGCTGCGTGGCCCTGCTGTCCTGGACTTTGTGATTTCTGGGACCTTAGCAGAAGCAAGGGGGTGAGTGGGTGAGAGTACCTTCAGGCACATGGGGAGGCTGTGAAAGGCTGCCTCTGGCTTTGTGTTTAGAACTGGGATGGCTTTATGCGCCACTCCTAGATCCTTTTCCTCTCTGCAGGGAAACACGTTGGGGGTGATGCTCTCTCCATTGCAGGGCTGTGGTGAGAATGACTTACGGGATGCATTAGTGCCAGCATCAGGGAGCCCCACCAGAGAGAGTTGCCCCTGGCCTGCTCTTGGAAACCACGCTGTGGGTAGACCTTCACCTTGCTGGCACGCCGGCGGGAGGCCGTCCTAGGCAGCTTCTGACGCCGCCGAGCTGGCCGGGAAGTCCAGGGGCGTCCCAGGCAGCAGGGAGCTGTGGGTCTCCTCTACGCGTGTGTGGCTTGTGTCACCTACAGGGGGCCTTCTTTGTCTCTTTTATTTCAGGTTCAAGTGGGATGGGTGCTTATCATGGAAAACATAGCTTCGATACTTTTTCTCATCGTCGTCCCTGTTTAGTAAAAAGTTTAAAGGGAGAGAGTGCTAACAAACTCAGATATCCTCCCAACAGCCAGTCAAAGGTGGATTGGGCAAAATTTTTCATCCTGAAACGATTCAGCAAAGGGAAACTCAGTCTGCTGTTCCTCGCTTTCCTGGGCGTCGTGGCCGCTGTGCTTCTCAAGGTGAGTCTCGGCTGCTGCCGCGGCCCGGCTCCGGGCCTGCCTGATGTGCCCTCTTCTGGGGCTCCTCTCCCTTTGTGAATTCACTGTCTTTTGCATCTGCTTTCGAGGCTGTGACCAGGTTGGCAAACTGCTGCCTGCTGGCCAGCACCTGTTTTTATAAATGAAGCTGCTTGGGTCACAGTCCTACCCATTTGTTCATTCACCCTCTCTGGCTGCTTGTGTGCTACATAGCAAAAGGGAAGAGTTGTGGGGTTGTAGGCCTACAAAGCCTAAAAAATAAGTTTGCTAACCTTCAGTCTAGAAGTTGCGTGCAGAATTTGGAGCTGTCTAACCCAGTGACCCTTTCGCCATTGGTGTTTCAGTTTCTGTTTTGCTCCTGAATGTGCATGAACTCAGCATGTGTGGAGAGGCTCTTGGACCATAGTGGTGGTGCGGCAGCTTTGGTGAGGGCGACTTGAATGTCTGTCCCCCACAGCTTACTGCCATGTCATGTTTGCCTTTGATAATCAGTTAGAACAGCTGTGGGCTTGCTAAGAGGCCCCTGAGACAACTGCCCTCCTAAGGCGGGTAGTGCATCTTTGGGGCAAAGAGAATATCCCAGACAGTGAATGTTAAAATGGCATGGGGAAAGGTAACGAACTATGTGCTCGAAGCCCTCTGCCAGCCAACTCAAGGAGGGACATGAAAAATGGACACCATCACGAAGCTCGGCAATGCGTGCATGTCACAGAACAGCTGTGTTTACATCTGTATTTAAAATGTGAAAGGGGGTTGGCTCATGTTACATTAACACAGCTTTGTGGAACTGGAGATACCAGTCACATTTGAAATCATTTGGGTTTTCTCAGAAATACCAAGCTGTGCTGAGGAGAAAGGCCCTGTTGATTTTTCTGGTTGTTCACAAACTGTGTTTTCCAGTAAACAATGATGAAAATTCAGAACCCAGCTCTATCTGTTAAGAATGAGGTAGGAACTCCTTGTTTTCTTTCCATAAGCAGGCAAAATGGGTTATGTTTTCTTTGAATTGTTTGTTGATTTCAATTGTAGGCTTACGGGTGTTGACTAAACAATATTCAGTTTATCTCTAGACATTTTGGGTCTTGGCCCACAGGTCAGAGTCTTAGGACTACTTATCCACAGTTCTTAAAGGGTGAGGAATCTAAGAAATGTGTAGCGGTAGTGGCTTAGCTGGTCTTGGTGCAGCAGGCCTCCTTTCTAGAAGAGGGGTAGCCATAAGGTCCCCTTTCTCAAATCTGTCTGCTCAGTCTTCCCGAGGAAGCATTGGCTGACTGCAGACCTACAGTCACTATTTAGACCCTGAACTGTTTGTTTCATCATTTGAGAATAATTTACAACCTCAGAGTCACTTTTTGTTGTTTGATTCGTATTTTTAAAAGTTTGCTTTGAATTCATGCTAGCAAATCAAATGCATATGCAAATCACAGCGTAGTATGCAGATTAGGGCTATTTGAGTTGGCCGTGTGGTCGGATCTGAGGTCATTATCTGCCTATCTTGCTGTTTTCCAAGGATACCGGTCCCCAACCTGATAAATATGTTGGTGGCTGGAGTCAGGTTTCTCAGCCTCCTGGGGAACTGGGAGTCTGCCTGCTGTCTGGGCTTGCTGCAGTCCCCCAGAGCTCCCTGAGAGCTCCCTCGGGTGCAGCACATCTTGAGAGACAGGCTGAGGTGGCCACGTTGCCGCCCAGAGTTCCCCAAACCGCTTGACAGACAAGCCTTTCTCCGATAGGGAAGCAGCAAGGTTTAAAAACATTTAGCAGCATTTAGGAAAGCATGACTCTGGCTCTTGGCTCTGACAGGGAGCTGATGGTGAGTGGGCACCGCCTTTTCTGAGCCCATGCCGAGGCACTTCGGCCTGGTAGAAGGGAGGCGTCAAGGAGTTCCTGGGCCCCCTCCAGCTCTGCTTCTCCTTACCGGGAGCTGATGTTCACATTGTTGTGGATTCATTGTGCCTAGAGAAAGACTTGGTTTTCTTTTCCTCTTTGCTGCTTCTCAGTTCTTTTCTCTGTACTTTTATCCTCTTTTTAGGACATCATCTTTTATTTCAGATTAAAGACTCTCAGCCTATGTTGTACATTCACTTGAGGAGCCCTTATTGTGATTGCAAATATTTTCCTGGAGTTACTTCTTTTGCACTTATTTTGTTATATGCTTAGATTTGATTTTGTTACTTTACTTTCTAAAATTACAATGAATTCAGAACATTTAAAATGGGAAGTTAAAGTGTGACTATCAATCTAAAAAGGGCCACGTTAATTAGAATCTGAGTGGGGAGGAACTTCTGTTTGCATACAAAGTCTATGTATATTGCTACTGTATACACACAACCAGACACACATCCAAAGCCAAGTCCCAGTAAAGCCGAATACCTGCTGGAAAACATTGTAGGAGATGTGGGTCCTAAAAGGTTCAGAAATTTGAAAGGTTAAAATTCATGAATGTGTGCATGAATTTAGGCCTTTGAAAGTTAAATATGACATTGAACTCTTTGAGGGTGTTGCAGCGCGCCTTAGCTTAGTAGACACAAACTAATTTCAGAACTACTGTGGAATTTTAGAAACAAAACAATCAGTTTGCAGATTCCTCGTAGAAACTTCTTCTGATGCTAGGATAGTAAATTTGTATTTTCTACCCCTGTCTCTGCTCTGATACTATCTCATTGATAGTGGACAGATCGAGTCTCCACCATTTAGTGTTCTTGTTGTTTTAGGGATTAATCATTCATCTTCAGCCCAGGCCACATTTATACTTCTTAGGAAGACATAGGCTTTGATACAGTGTATACAGATTCTTTTAAGAAGGGATATTTGTTAGTGTCCTGATTCTAAGTTCATGTTCCAGAGCCAGGTCAGAGGGTTTTTAAACTAGCAGAGTAATCTGGGTCCTCTTTTCTCTCCAGGTAGTATACTACTGAAGAATGATCCTGTTCAACCTCCTACTTGCCTCTACTGAATTATGCCTCTGTTAAATGGTTAATGAGCCAACAATTTTAAAATCCTACAAAAGTATGCAAATGCACTGTGATCTAACCTGAAAGTTATTGCCAATCACTTTTATTAAACTTGGCTTTTCAACCAAATTCCAACATTCCCCTAATAGCGAGGATATTCACAGAACCCATTCTAGACTGTGTCACCCCAATATTAGAACTTTGAACTAGAGGAGGGGAGTATGTTAGGCTAAACTCAAGTTCTTTGGGGAACCCTGAAGGGGTCTTAGAACCTACTTGATAACTTTTTCACTGCAGTTCATGAAACACGGCACACCTTTCCTCTGAAGCTCCCAAGAGCGCCACACTGCCCAGCAAGGCCCCTGCAGCCCAGGGGTGAGGCTCGATCTCCCCAGGTCCCCGTAAGCACTAGAACAGTGTGACTGTGGTGGGGGCACCTTCCTTGGTGCCCTGGGGCCTGAGAGCCGGCCTCCAGAAGTCGGCCCATCTCACCAGTGCGCTTTCTCCCTTCTCATCTGGTCTCCATACTGTCTTGGGTTTAGTCTGACAGTATCTTGTGACTATCCACAATTCTCTCAGTGACCACTGTCACTCAGAGCATTATGTCTATCATAGGGCTTCCTAGAAAACAGTTACCAGTTTCCTGTATCACCTGTTATTCTCAATGATGTAGGAATTGTAGAATTCTGCATCTTATTAAATGCTGTAATTAAAGTATTTTTAAAGTATTTATCTAACTCAGGACCCTAAAGTTATAAGTTTGCAGACCTCCAAGAACAAATCTTTTACGTTTCATATTTCTGTAGCACAATGCAAGTAAAATGTCACTTTTTTAAACTTTAGAGAGAGCACTTTCTGAATAAGTTCAGCCTACAGAACTTAAAGTGGTGACGCCATTTCCTGTCATGGACTTTGGATCCCAATCACCTCATAGGGCTGATGGTGCATCTCTTGGAGCAGTTTGGAGAGGTGTGTAAGCCACAGTAGCTGCCATGCCGAAAGGTGTGAAGGACGTGGGAAGACGCTGGACTGCACAGCCATGACTGAGCTACCTCAGCCCATTGGGAAAGTGCTAAGGAAGAGCCCTGCTGTGTGACCCACCACCCCGCCCTGTGTTTGAGACGGACTGTGCCCACTCAGTGAGAGACCGCCACTCACTTCTGTGCCCACTCAGTGAGAGACCGCCACTCACTTTACATAATGTGCGATCAGCTTTGCTCAAAGAATCGGTTCCATTAAGGCTGCCTGAAGTGTGAGTGTTGAAAATTAATCACTGAACTAGAATAAACTGCTCAAACGTGGCTTTAACCAACTAGTCAGCCATAATACACTTTAGAAAAAAACTTCAGTATGGGATTTTCATTTAATATATTAAATTGTATGTTATAATTTCTAGTTTAACTATAAATTATCTCCTTGTCTCCTAATATATCCTGCTTCAAAATAAATATGTTATATTCAATACAGTTGGCATGAATTTTCATAACATTCTGAGTTTGGAACCTCAGGTACCCTTTTGGAATTTTTTTTTAATCATAATTTTTTTTCAACTATAAATCCACTTTTTTTGCTATTATCTAGCAAAAGGGTGTGGTACTCATCAGTTTTCTCTAAGTCATACTTTTTCATTTTAAATTCTGAACCAAGAAGATTTTTCAAGTTTAATTTTCTGTCACATGTGGGTTTTGTTTTAGTTTGAGTCCCTGTGGTAATGAGCAGGGTTTTCCTACTGTCTCCTCTTATACACTTTGCTGATCTAAAGCAAGTATTTTTGTTTTGTTCATAAATTGTTTGCTTTTAATGGAGCACCATTGTTTTACACCCTTGTTAATATTTCAACAGCATAAGCTTTCTCCCTCAGTTGCGCTCCCAGTAGAGTAGCTCTCCACCTCCAGAGTACCATGTGGCCCTCCACCACGGTCCATTGTGTTCTCCCTCTTACCCCATCTCTGCTTCGCTCCTTTCCCCTCCCTCCTACTCTGAAAGTCAAAGATCTGTGGTCAGTTTTAAGGGTTGTTTTAAAGTTTGTCTTTTTCTCTTCTTTTGGTGCCACATAGAAGTGATACCACCCAGTATTTGTCTTTCTCCATCTGGCTTATTCTGCTTAGCATAATGCCTCACAGACCTATCCATGTTGCCACAAATGGTGCGAGTTTATCCTTTTTGATTGCTGAGTAGTATTCCATTGTGTATATATATATGCCACATCTTGGTTTAGTCATCTATTTTGGGAAACTATTAAAGTTTCCGTATTTTGGCTATTGGAAATAGTGTTGCTAGGAACATAAGAGTGCAGGTTCCTTTCAGATTAGACAGCGTTGGTTTTGCTGCTCTTGTTTACCTCATTCCACTACTGTAGGAGAAAGTGGGACAAGAACAAGTATTTCTCAAAGTCTATGGCAAGTAAAAATGCCAGTAGAATGAAAGGATTGGAGGAGAGTTGAGGGTCTACGAACTGCTATCCTGCCTTAATTGAGGTTTTTTATGCCTGAGTCTCAGTGGCACAGGGCGGGGGTAGCCCACTGAGCCCTTGCGCCGAGAGCCTCACAAAGCTTTTATGAACTGGCCTAGACTAGAGACTGCTTAGGAAATAAGTAGATTTTAATGTAACAGTGGTTTTGAAAATTTGATTTGAAGTTTCCAGTTTGAAATTGTTGCCGTTATAAATAACACTAGTGATCTCAGTGTTCTCATTCTTCCAGTTGCCTGTTGTCTTCTAAAGAGTAGTCCAGGTCAGAGGAGAAGAAGTCAATTTGACCACAATAGATTGTCTGCATAAGGCAGACTTCTCCTGTTACAGGAGTTACTGGCACCAGATCCTGCTCATACCTTTGCAGGTGTGTGTGTTTCTAGCCATCCTTGTCTCGCTTTCTGTTTCCAAGCCGCTTTGCTAGTATCTGGTAGTCAGGGCCCGGAAGACAATGCCCACTGTCAACATGGCTGACGCTGCCCCCAGAGCAGCCCCACGGCGGATGGCCAGCTGTTTCATTGACAGCTTGCTGCCAGGATCTGAGAGGGAATGGGCTGCTTCAGGATTCCTGAAGAGGTCCAGATGCCACTCAGGCCGTGAGTACGTTGTCAGGATAATGCCTGGGGAACTGCCCGTTGCCACTGTAGACATAAGCAGAAGCCAGTTGTACTCAGAACCAGAGAAAGATGTCACCTCAGAAATCAGGAAGCCCAGATTAAGTTCCTGGCTGCATTTGTTACTGTATGACTCATTAGTTGACCTCTGTGCCTTACAACAGAAAAGGCCCATTCAATAGAAAAATGTCTCTCTGGTCTACCAGGATCAGAGGAGGGAATTATGGGACAGCATTCAAAGTTGTGTATTTGGTGTTTGGCAAAATTTATTACTGATATCAGAGGAGGTAGTTTCCTGTTTAAGCTGTTCTTGTGATGAATGTGACACAGGGAACGTAACTTTCATGTAACACTTCGCTGAAGAGAGCACATTAAATACTCACGCAGTCATGCCTGCTGTGACAAGCGGCCCCAGCCTGTTAGCTGGCTCCCTGCAGTGTCTGTGCAGACATAGCCCGGGATGGGCCAGGACATGGAGATACTAAAATTCGGGGCTGTTTTCACAGGAGTCTGGCACTCCGCAGCAGCCTGGGGCCTTGCATCTTGGTCTGGGGCCATCACTTCTCACATTGGACAGAGGCACTGTGTATGTAATGGGGTGAATAGAGGTAGAAGGGGAAGTACCCCGCCATGCCAGATTGTGGCACCAGACTGATCCCCTGGGGGTCTTTGTGAGAGCACACTCGAGAGTCTGGGAGGGCAATGCTTGGGTCATCTCTTAGCCTTTACCAGTTGCAGAACACATTGCTCTGCTCCCGCATCTGACAGTAGGACTACACCTCCCTGCCTCGCCAGCCCAGGCAACTAATGGATGCTAATGGGATCTTTCTGGCACGTGGGACGTCATTTCCAGCCGCCTGAGGCACTAGAGCAGCTGTGTGTACCCAGCAGAAGTGCTGTCAAAGCATTACCTGAAGATCCCACAGCTTTCTCAGGCCCAGGTCTGGAACCTGTGCTCACAGGGATCGTGCTCACGGGGCCCACAGGGCCTGCAGGGCTCTCCGCACTCCACTGGGGCAGCCCCACGCGTTTCTGAGCCTGAAGGAGAGAAACCGTGGCTGGGTCAGCCTGCCAGCAACCCCACCTCCCCTCACCGCTGGCCTCATCTGTGTACTGCCTGTAAAACACTGTGCTAAAGCAGTTCGTGTTCACTTATTCACAGTTGGGGGGAAGTGTTCTAAGTCTTTCTCATCCATTGGCTTAAATGCCAAAATGACTAGATCCACACAGGAAACAAGGCCACTGCTGGCTAGGACTCAGGTTCATAGAAGAGCACCCCTCTGCCTAAAGACTGAGCTGTGCCTTAACTCTCTCCGAGAAACAGTTGCCAGCCTGTGGCTTCAACTGTTCATTCCAGAAGACATTTGGCAGGGTGATTTTGTTCTCTTCCAAAGTCAGGGAACACTCGGGTTCACTGGGTTCGGCCTCATTTGAGCAACTTGCTTGTGTTTGGTTTTCTGGAGCGGGGGTTGGCTAAGAAAGGTTTTGCATTTCTCTGTGAATTGGAGCTATGCTGCTCGCAGGGGCACATCCTGCAGTCCAGTAACAGTGACAGGAGCAGACACTGAGGCCGAGATGTCCCTCAGGGACCCTGCAGCCCCCCAACCTGTATCCCAGATCACTGCTGAGGCCTGTTATGCTCTGGGCACTTATGGTTGAGCTGTCTCCATCCACTTGGCCAGAACCAGCCTTAAGGTCTGTGCGGCTGACTCACTCACCTCCTCTGCAGCCAGCTTCCAGTTTATCCGGACCATAAAGACAGTGAAGGCGACAACCGCCAGAAGGACACAGGCCAGCATGCCCAGCCAAAGGCCTGCAGGAGACAAGTGACCATGGGGAATGTCGGGTGATCACCCAGACCTCCTCGGACTTTCCTCACAGCACATACCAATGATTCTCATCCTGACCACAAAGGTCAGCACGATGCCCAGCGGGAGGGCGACGACGTAATACATGACGGCGTTCACGAGCGCTCCGAAGATCTGCTTCCCTGTTCCCCTCAGGACTCCACCATAGACACACTGGGAGGGAGGCAGACGGGGGAGGTTAGTGCTGACGCGGCTGATGGCACAGTGCATGCCGTAGGTACTTTGCCATGCAGTTCCGTTGCATGCCCACTTCCCACAGCCCCAGGGTGGGTGCGCTTATCCCCATTTCTTCCATGAGGACTCTGGGTCAAAGAGGTCGAGTCACTTGCCCAGTGTTACATAAAAAAACTCACAGCGCCAGACCCCCGTCTTCCCCTCTACACCATTTGTTGCCTCGTTAGGAAGTAAAAGTGGCCAAGAGTGAGCCTGTGCCTTGGCCTTTCGGGGCTTTCAGAGGCCCCCCGCAGTCCTGGGCACACGGTCTCCAGACCACAGTGGCACCACTCCAGCTGCTGTCTCTGTTGTCGCACGTCGCTCTCTGATTCTCAGCGGGTGAGTCACTGCTAAAGATCCTGTCTTTAACTTTATCCTCCCAGGTAAACTGGGATAAAATCCACATGGCAAGAGCCTTCATTTAATCACAAGCACACCGTCTCCTTTTGCCACATAACACACAGCTCTGGCTTCGGCGCTAGACCTCCCTGGGAGCCAGGTGCCTTGGTCGGTGGGAGGCAGCCGCCACCCTGCCGTCACTGCCCATGTGCACACATGCTCTGAAGCATGCTGCCACTTTGCTTTATGGTCTAGGCTCAGCCTCTGACTGACTTCAGACCTAATAAACTGAAAAACCGCAAGGCGTAGCTCATGCTTGGTCAATATTATTGAATGATATCTGATGGCCTTTATTTTGCTAAGATGAAGGATGTGAGATATTTCATGGTTTGCTTTTACGCATTTGAGCAACAAGGCACTGGGGATTATAAACTTGGAAATAGGGCATCCCAGATAATCTGGGGTAATCTTCCCATGGCAAGAGCCTTTACTTAATCATACACACAAAGTCTCCCTTTGCCAAATAACATTCATAACTCTTTGGGACGTCTATGTCATTATGTTTCATGACATAGAAGATGATGGTGCGTTTTGGGTTAAAAAATGTCTCCAAATTATAACTGATGTGTGCTGGGCCCTTATCTCAAACCTAGGGTGATTCTACTCTTCAGGGCACCAGGGCAATGTCTGGACATGGTTTTGGTTGTCACAGTTCAGAGGTGCTTCTGTCTTCTAGTGTGGTTTGAGACCAGGATTGCCACTCAGCATCTGACAATGTACAGGACAGACCCCACATATGATAGAGAATGGTCCATCCCAAGATGTCAGTTATGCCAGTGTTGAGAAGCCCTGATTTAGACAGTGAGTTTCAGTAGCTGGCACACAAAAAGCGATGGCCCCTCTAGCCTAAAGCTGTGGGCCTGTTTGGGAGAGGCAGTGGATCAGTGGCTTAGACAGGGATTTGACCCAGAGCTCCGAGAAGGAGGCAGGCTGAGGGCCTGACACATTCCCATGACTGGAAGCTCTGCATATATATATAAGTAGTGGGGACCAGAGTAGCCCCAAACCTCCTGAACGGTCCTGGACAATGGAGCCAGCATATGGGCAGGAGAAACACAAGGAGGCCCAAAAGGAAGTAAAATCTGGGGCCTCCCCCAGGCCACACATGATCCTTTGGCAGAGAGGGGAAGCCTTATCAACTCTCAGAGGTGTTGGAATACCAATAACTGGCTGAATACTAAGCTATGCAGACACAGGGACAAGCTATAACAAGCTTAAAAATTAAAATAAGAGAAAATAAGTTAACAAAACTAAGCAGAGATGTTAGCGGCTACAGGTTCTGCTGTAAACAAACAAAGCAGTCCCTGGGGAAACTGAACAAACAAAGCAATCCCTGGGGAAACTAAATAAGCAAAGCAATCCTTGGGGAAACTGAACAAACAAGCAATCCCGGAGGGAAGGTTGCATGCAACTTTCTCCAGGATAGACCTATGTTAGGCAAGGCCAGCAACATTCTCAGTACACTTTAGGAGGTTAAATGCATGCAAAATGTAGTCTCTGATCACAACAGGATTAGATTTACCAGAAAAAAAGAATCTAGAAACACCCAACATATCTGGAAGTCAAACAACATACTTCATGGGCCAAAGAATAAATCACAAGAGAAACTGTAAAATGCATAGAATGCAATATTTTAAACTGAATATAAAGAAAAATATATTAGATTCATGCTTAGAGGAAAATGTATAGAAAATGTATAGAAAAGAAGTAAGGTCTCAAACCAATAACTTAATTAACTACCCTAGGAAACCAGTAAACAAAAGCAAACTATACCTAAATAAAGCAGAAAGGTAAGAATAGTAAATATGAGTAAAAGTCATCGAAATAAGCAACAGAGAAAACCAATGAAACCAGAAAGTCTAGTTCTTTGATAACTGCCACAAAATTGACATTTATCAAGGGTTTGACCATGATGAAACGAGACCGGGAAAATAGGAAAGTGAAAACAGGTTATTAAAATCAGAAATGAAATAACTACTGGTATAAAGAAATTTTCCTCATACCAACAATTGTTCTGGAACAATGGGATTTCTGTGTGTGAAAAAGTAAACTTAGACCATTACCTCATACCCTGTACGAAAAGGAACTCAAAATGAATCATAAACCTAAATATAAGGGCTAAAACTTCTAGTCGAAGACACAAAAAAAAATCTCTGTGATCTTGAGTTAAGCAGAGTTCTCATCTGCCATAGCAAAAGTATGAGCTGGGGAAGAAGACAAATTGGACTATGTTAATGACAATGTTTGAAGTTCCAAAGATACCAGGTAGAAAATGAAAGTCAGGCGGAAGTTGGCATGCAAGTCATATTCCCAATGAGGGACTTGTGTACAGAACTTACAAAGAAATCTTCAGTAATAGTATTATCTTCAGTAACTCAATAATAAAAAGGTAAGATGCTGAAGTCTCAGTCCCCAGTATCTATGAAGGTGATCTTACTTGAAAATAGGGCCTAATTCAGGCAAAGTCCATTAAAGGATCATTCAGTATTTCCATTTCACTGAACCTCGTTGAAATCCTGAATTGAAAATTTAGATTCAACCTCTCTCCTGTTTCTTAAATGACAGTTCTTGAAGTGATGACTCAGAACACATTAAAAAACAGAAAGTCAGCTAAAGTTAAAGACTTGCATATTTTAAAGGAATCCACTTTTTTTTTTTTTAAGATTTATTTATGCATACAAGAGCTGGGGTATAGGCCAGAGGTGCAGGGGGTGAGGGGATCCACCAGAGACAGAGTGGGGAGCAGAACAGGCAGATTGACTGAAATATTCTGCTGAGGGGAGCAGTGGGTGAGACAGGAGAGGTCTGCTGCGCCAGGTGGGTCACCCCCCTGGTCAGGGATCAGGGATTGAACCCAGGCCACAGTGGCTGCAGATAACTTGATAGGGCTGTCTAACCCTTGCACCACCAGCGAGGCCCGGGAACACATCCTTTAGTGATCAAAAGAACAGAAAGCTTAGGTCCTTCTAAGGCTGATTCTCTATGAAAAGCCCCTTTGCTCTTGGCAACAGAGTGTAGTAGCTATTTAGTGCCTGAACCACTCGGGGCATGGGTCAGCTCTGGAGGCAGGAAGGAAGGAAGGGAGTTGTGAGTTTACAATGCTGCAGTTTTCCAGCATTGGCTCATTAAATTGGCAGAAATTGGCAGAAAAGAAGGGGAATCTTTGTGTTGACTATTATGGAACTAATATGAGCCGATACTTTGGGAACTTAATGTACAGTTAGCCCTCTGCATGTACAGTGAGCCGTCACTTACCTGCGAGGATAGGCTCTTAGAAACAAAAAGCAGGTCCCAGGCCTCCCCGGGGGGCAGGGGTTAGAGTCTCAGGGATCAAGCTGTTGCCAGCCACTGTGGCCTGGGTTCAGTCCCCATGTCCAGCTGGCCAGGGAGTGACCCACATGTCAGAGCAGACCTCCTATCTCTCCGCTGCTCCCCTCAGCATTGTATCTCAGTAGATCGCCTGTTCTGCTCCCCACTGTGTCTCTGGTGGCTCCTGTCACCCACCCCGTCACCCACCCCCACCCCTGCACCTCTGGCCTCTACCCCAGTTCTTGTGTCCATAAATAAATTTTTTTTAAAGCAGTTCCTTAGGGGTTGTTTTTTCTCATCAGCAGTGTAAGATTACAGTGAAGCGATGCTGTGGGAAACAAGGTTATTTGATGGCCTGTTGTATTAATGCACTAATCCTCAGAGCCCTAGGAGGCCTCAGGACTGGGAACTTGGGGGTATCAGACTTCATCAGTGCAGTACTCACACAGAGGGATTCAAATAGCTGAAAGATGATATAAATCGGCAATGCTTTGTTCACCAGGGCAATGACTTCTCTGCAAAAGATACAGGAAAGAGCATCCTTTTTGAACACTAAGACATGGCTACATGCTTAAAGCCCATATCCACCCTTTCTATTCTGTTCTTTCTCCAAGTTTTTGGACTAGAGTCGTTGCCCCATGAAAATGTAACTGACCCTCCCAGAAATCTCACAATTGTGTGGTCCTTTGATTAGCATCTTGTCTAAGGACAAGCAAGTGGTGGAAGCCATGGCCTGGGGTGCCGGGGGCGGGGGGGGGGGCGCAGCAGATGCAAGTCTCCCAGTGACAGCAAAGTCAGGGTTGATCTTCTGCAGCCAGCATCAAGCAGGGCCTGTGCGCCCTCTCTGGGGACCGGCAGGAACCCGCTCTGACCTTTCCAGAAGTCAGTGAAGAAAATTGATTACCTACTCATCATTGGTAAAAATACGCCCCAGTTGATTTTTCAGGATTAACAATAGGATGCCCACCAGCAGCGAGGTGCCAACTGGAAGAGAAAAAAGGAAGAACGCTGGCCAGCCCCAGCCCACAGAGGAGCCCTGCAGAGGCCAGCGCAAACCGGCTCAGCTGTCCAGGTCACAGCCCCGCAGCCCCCTGCCGTCAAGTCCCTCTTTTGCATTCCAGAAAGGACAACATATTCCTCTTGTGGTTTTCAAAGTGGGTTCCCTAGACCAGCAGCATCAGTATCACGGTATAACGTATTAGAAATGCAGGTTCCCAGTATAACGTATTAGAAATGCAGGTTCCCAGGCCGCCTCCCTCTGGCCATCTGCAGCCTCCAGAAGCTGCCAGCCCACACCCAGGATCTGTGCGTGGACACAGTCTCCAAGGGTCCCAACACACTCTAAATGCCGCTCTCCAGGGAAGTCAATGAGAATGCTGGCGGCCTTAGTACACAGGACCCGGGTTGAGGGCACGGAACAGTCCATTCTGAAGGGGGGCAAGTGCCGAGCTTGGGGCGCTGGGAGGTGGACTTGTAGAAGGATCCCGGGCGCTAGGGGAGGAAGGGCCTTCCAGAGTGACACTCACGTGTGTCATGGAGGCTGACCAGGAGCCCAAGCAGCCCAGCAGCCGGGAGGGCGCCCGCTGCTCATGGGCGCATTGTCGGCTCAGCTCATCAGCCGGGCCTGCTGTGGGCCAGACACAGGTGTAACAGATTCAGGAGATGAATCTGGGTCCCAAGGCCAACCCTGCTCCATCACGCCAACTTGCCAGCTTGCCAAGTTCCTGCCCGGGAGAGGGCGTCACCCACCTGAGCATAACACGCCTGACACGGCCGACCGCTTTGCCTGAACAATGTCTGTGGCTCCCAGGGCCGTCCCCACTCGGACACAGATGGCAATGCTGAGCCCCATGGGAACCTGGGGTCAGAAAGGAGGAGGCCGTCAGGGAGCACCCCTCCAGCCCCAGGTCGGGCTGGGCTCTGAGCCAGGAAGAGGCCTGGGGAGGGTGGTGGCCCCCAGCCTGGGTCAGAGGGAGGAGAGCGGGAAGGCGGGGCCTCCCAGGGAGGGGGCCTGAGGAGGGAGGGCATTGGTGGTGGCCAACGACAGGCAGTGAGCCTGAGGTTGCCAGGTGAGGTGCTGAAACCCCAATGAGCCAGCCAACCCCGCCCTCCCCACCTGCTCCACCAAATATCGCAGGCAGACTGGCCTTGCAACTGAAATCAGTGTGTTGCCAAAAATTCATGAATACATGCATTTTAATGAGGTGAATGTGGTCGTAAGCATGTAGAAAAGATCCCTGTAAGAAAAAAATAATTCAGTGGAAACCGTTTGTAAAATAAGAATCATAAATTAGTTTTGTAAATGTGAATCTTTTGCTTATGACAAGGCTCAGACTGAAGGCCCCCGCGAGGCCAGCAGATGCCTATGTGAGGGACACGGCTGTCCCATGTCCCTCTCCCAGGGGAGAGGAGGGACTGTGGTGAAGGACAGCGCCCTCACTGGCACGTGGTCCCCAGAGCTCACTGAGGGGTGCTGGAGCATGGCCTGCTGCTAAATAGATTGTAACATTTTCCGGGAAAATGTAAAAATTTTGATTAAGACACGAAATTGCCCACTTTTCAATGGTGTGAATAAAAAAAAACAACAAAACTCTCTCATGAGAGTTCGCTGCTCCTCCAGTGGGTGACTCTGGCCCACCTGTGTGTCTGGCCAGGCCTGGACGTGGGAGAAGGGCCCTCGGGAGACCAGGATGGCCTGTGAGCGGCAGCCTGCCTCTCTCCGCGACACCGCCAGGCCTCAGGGAGGCTGGGCCCGGTCGAGGAGCCTTACCATGTAGACGACCGTGGCCACCTCATAGATGATGGCCTGTGCGGAGAGGTCCAGCACGCTGAGCAGGCCTGTGGGGAGGTGCCCGTCAGCTCCCAGCCTGGTGAGCCGCTGCCCAAACCCTCAGCTGACAGCACACCCCTCTGCTTCGAAGGCGAAGGGGCAAATAACTAAGGACAGAGAGCGTGTCTGCTTGGCCTCCAGCCTTCCAGGAAAATCCTGGCCAGTTGTTAAGGAATTTCCTGAAGTCTCTTGCCCTGACTGGCTTTTGTGTCCAGTGGCATGTGAGGGATGGACAATAAATCAGGATCAGGAAGCCAAGTCCAGACCTCAGCCCTGTCACAGCATGACTGACTGTCACCGTCTTGTTCTTGAGACTCGGTTTTCCTGTCTGTAAATGGGGGGCAGGGGCTGGACTAGAGCTGTCTCAGGGCCTCACAGGCTGCTTGAACTCTGGGCTGAGTACAGAGATGCCGCGCATCTGCCAGGCCGGCTCACTGCTGGCTCATCCAACCCCTCACCCTCATCCACCCGACTGCCTCCTCCAGGGTGCCCACCCAGGGCCAGCTCCCTGCTGGGCAGAGATGTGGTCCCAGCATGAAGGGACCAGGCCTGTTCCTGGGTACTCACAGCCCAGTGGGGAGTCGTGTGAACCCATCCTGGGGAGGGCTCTGAGCTGGGCAGCCTCCCTAGGTTCCCTTACACCCCCAACCCCATTTCTTCCACATACCCATGAGGAAGCTTCCGATCTCGTAGGCCCACCACTCGACGCATACCATGAGCATGCTGGGGATGGCTAGGTGGAAGAAGGGGCCCCAGTCCTGTAGACACTGGCTGGACCAACCTAGGAACAGAACCGGGAGCTGAGCAGCCGCCGGCCCTCCTGTCTGCCCACAGCCGGGAGCCCTGGATGGCTGGGGCTCCCGCTCCTGGGCTCCGCGCCACAGGTCAGGCCCGTGGCGTTCCACACAGGGCATGCCAGCTGGGGCAGGAGGATGAAGCGGACGGCGTGCCAGCTCAGCGCTGCCCTCCCCTCCCCCACCGGCGCCTCGGGCAGGGCAGGGGTCCTCCTCTGGCTCCATCTCACTCTCTTGCCCTCTCCGCTCAGTTTCCTACTCTCGCCCGAGGCCCTTTCTGGCCTCAGAAGAGCTGTGGGGCGGATGGCACGAGGTCAGGACCTTGGAGGGAGCTGCGAATCTATCTGGGGCTGAGCAGAGTTGGGCACAGTGCGGCCCAGCAGGACCCCACTGTCCGCCAATGGACACTCAAGAGCCGCTCCTGAAATGACTGGGAAAGGCAGGTGTGGTCTTCACAGGAGGCAGAAAAGCGCAGAACCCACCGTCTGGGATCAGTCTGGCACCAGGTCCGGGCCAGACCCCGTCACCTATCATCTCTGGCATCTCGGGCACATTGCTTAACCGCTGTCTCAATTTCCTCCACACGGGGATGATCACCTAGCACCTAATATTCCACCGGTGTTTTAACTAATCTCCATGATTAGTTAAAGTTCGTGAACCTGTCACCAAAGGGCTCTGCACTGTGACCCATAGGGTGGGGGGCTCCAGGGCTCTTGGGAGGTACCGAGGGAAGAAGTAAAGGGGAGCTGGCCCGAAAGGAATGGAGGGCGGCCTGGGCCCCCCGGGCCCTCGACCTGCCGAAAGAAGGCCCAGTCCTGTGTTGGGGCCCACGCGGCTGCCGCCGGCTCAGCCCAGGAAGACAGACCGGCCCTTCGCACCTGCCCACGTGTCCAGGTACAGCTTCTTCAGCACAATGTAGAGAAAGAGGAAGGTGACCTGCGTGTACTGAGACATGGTGTTGGCATAAGCAGAGCCCCTGGGAGAGAGAGAGAGCGGGGCTGAGGCCTCCCCCACTGAAGCCAGCACGGGCAGGAAAGGGTACCCCATCCCAGGACTGACCTTCTCCAGGGACCCCAGTGCCGTGGCACCATGACTACAGTGTCCCAGGAGCCGCCCCACCCCCACCCAGGTCCCCCCTCTCAGTCTCTCCTGGCCAGCTGGGGCACAGAGGGGTGCTGTTCCTCCCCTTGTCTCCTGATGGGCAGTTCCCCGAACTCAGGGAGCCAGTAGGCCCCCCACTTCCACGTGACCCTTAGCTTCCGATGGCACAGACAGCCTCCACAGTCCTCGTCTTGGGTGAGGCAAGGATGTCACCTGCCTCGCTGGGGGGTGTCCTCAGGGGCAGGGCTTCTGGGCCACCTGCCCCCGTGCTCACCTGACCCCTAGGCTCAGCACGGAAACCAGGACGTAGTTGGCCAAGCCATTGACACAGTTGCCCAGGACGCCACTGAGGACTTGGGGCCAGATGATCCCCTGAAATAAATGAAAACTGGCCTTGCTAAGGGGTGGGCAGGGCCAAGGGAGTGTGGACAAGCCCAGGCACGCCTCGGCGTCTGAAAGAGGCCGGGTGTGGGGGCAGGTCACAGGTGGTGCAGAGGAGAGAAAGCCCAGGTGCACCCCTTCCCACCAGCTGGGGATATGGGGGTCAGGCGGGTGCAGGGGTGCCCCTCTAGCTGGATACCTGATTCTGCAAATATTTTGCTAGCAGTCCATAAAGAAAAACCGCCTGTATAAAAACACATACATTCAAATAAACACCAGTGAAAAACACCACATGAACATCAGCAGCTATTTCTTAGTTTGAGGCCATTATCTCGCCAAAGTCTGCCTGGGATCCCAGGATGAGGGGGTTGGGGGAGGCGAAGCCCACACGGTAGCTACCTTGCCGATCAGGAAGGGGGGAGGGTGAGGCGAGGGGGTGGGCAAGAGCAGCAGGGGGTGTCAGCTGTGCAAGAGTCAGTTCGGGGGGGCCAACCTGGGCCTTCTATCAGCTGAGGCTGCAACCCACAGGAGGCCCAGCAGAGCCCAAATCTAGGGCTGGGGGCCTCGCTCTGGTGCCCGAAGCAATATTCTGAAAGGAATGGCCTTGGACGGAGAGTGTGGAGGGAACAGAGCACAGAGCGGTGCCAGCTGCCAGCAGCCAGACCTATGGGGTCCTTCCCTGGCCTTGGTGGACAAAGGGGCCCATGGTCCCGGTGTCTGTGTGGGGGCGTGCCCTGTTCTTTCTGAACCTGTCACAACCTGCCCTAGTCACTTTAAGCAAGTTTCATGACCTCTCTGGGCTTACTTCCTTATCTCTGGTGGAGATAATTGTGTAGGCATATAATCCTGTGTGTGCATACTTAATATCTGTTTGGAATTTACATATAAGCACATGCATTTACATACTCATATAAGCATGTGCACTCACAGGATCGCATTGGCACATTTAAGCATTCCAAGTGTCAGGCAAGTACATGTCAGCCGGCGCCACGGTCGCTTCATTGGCAGCTAAACTGCAGCAGCAGTTTACGGAAGACTTGCTTTGTTTGCTGAGGCGAGGCTACAGTGATACCCTTGCAGAACACCTTCCTTTGCCTGCCCCCAGTGGCCCTGTTTGACAAGATAGCATCAACTTAGTCTAAGTATGGTTTGTAGGGAAGATTCGGAGGAGAAAGACCAGCCTTTTTAGGTGGTTTCCATGTTGCAGCAGAAATCTGGAGTTGGCTGGGCCCCAAAGAGGCCATGGTGCTGGCCTTTCAGGGAGGTGGGTGTGACTGGGCTCCACCCTCCCAGGCCTGGGCACACTTTATCAGCATCTGTTTTTTCTGACCCTTTCCCTTAGAAGCTCCTGCCCCAAGGATTCTGCCCCGTGGAGCCCGGAGGCGAGAGAGGCTGTATCAAAGTCTGGCAAGGCCATCCCTGAGACAGTATGCGTATGGCTGACTGACGACAAATCAGGCAGTGCAGTAGTGTCCCTGAGTGGACATAGAGACCCCTGGGTCAGCTAGAAACCTCAGAAATTGTCTTGAGTAGATGCACTACTTAATACATTCATGGAGAAAGCAGAAAGTAGTCAATTACTGTTAGAAAATATTTAAGTTAAATGGAGTTAAGTCTTAAACATAAAAATAGAAACCAGAAAATGCACAGGTTTATAATCTTGCAATGGGCTAAGTGTGAGTAAGCTCATCAGAGCATACATCTGTGAATCGTGGTTGCCAGGAGGTGGGTGGGAGAAGTGGTAAAGGGGGCAGAAGATGAATCCAAAAGTTATCTTTGTATGGTAATTAGACTGGATGTAGCAAACATTCTACAATGTACAAAAGTATAGGACTGTTGTACACCTAAAACCCATATAATGTTATATATGTCCATTATTTTTAAAACACTAAAAAAAAATAATAAAGGATAAGATTTGTGGGTCTGTTGCATTAAAAATGCTGTAAGTCAGAAATTAAAAGGCAAATAACAGAATGAAAATGTGACATATATTACAAAAAGTTTAGGTAGCATTTAACTGGAGATATAATCATTAGGGAAAGACTGACCCACTACATAAGCAACGTATATGAGAACTCACAGAAGACAAGCAAATTATCAACGAATACATGGAAATACGTTCAGCCTTGGTAAATAACAAAAAAATGTCTATGAAAGCAATTTGTTCCTATCAAAAAACATTTAATAATAATACTCTGCAGATGAGAGTGTTGCTAGCAGGGGGCAGAACTGGTACAATTTGTCTTGTGTATCAAAAGCCATTGATGGGCAACTTCAGTTCTCATAAAGCATGCCAAGGTCATTGTTACAGATTTTCACAAAGATTTTTCTCTAAGAATGTTTATCACAATCTTGCTAATAATAGTGAATACTGGAAACAACCTAAATGTCTACTAATAGGGACTGATGAATAAATTATGGCACAACTAGTAGAAACTGGCTAGCCTTTGAAATGGATATTGTGGAAGAGTATATCAAGAAACTCATGACACATTTGTAAGGAAAAAGCAGGTTATGATATAATAGACACACACCGACTCCATGTCAAACTGTGTGTGTTTGAACACAAACATCATGAATAGAAATAAACCTGGAAAGAGATATTAACCTAGCTCCTCTTTCTGAGGTGACTTGAAATTTTTCTTCCCTGTGTGTTCCAAATGTTCTTCAACTGTTTTCTAATGAGAAAACCATGTTATGTTGCTTTTAAAAAGTCGTAACTGTGGGCCCTCCCTAGTGGTGCAATGGGTTAATGCACCGTATTATGAAGCTCTCCGAAGCCACTGCAGCTCGAGTTCGATCCCCGGTCAGGGAGTTGACCCACATGGTGCGGGTCCCCTCAGCAGTGTACCTTGTCAATCTGCCTGTTCTGCTCCCCACTCTGTCTCTGGTGAATCCTGTCACCCACCACACCTCTGGCCTGTTACCCCAGCTCTGCAAGCATAAATAAATAAATCTAAAAAAAAAAAGTTGTAGCTACACCAATCGGAATTGGAACTTCTATCCTTTCAGTGGGCCTCCCTAGCAGACAGGGTGGAATCCTGAATTCTGGCACTTTTGCAGGAAGTGTGAGTTCACCCTCTTTAAGCTCAGCAGACAGTAGACTCACCGGAAGGGCTGGGATGAAGATCAGCACGTACTCCTGGGTTAGCCTGCAAGACAATAGATGCTAAGAGCTGACCAGCTGGACCCCGCCACTGGGGGCCTTTTGATTGAGGGGATTTAATTTGGAGTCATGTTGTTTGCCAGGGCGGGGGGTGGGGGAGGAGCTCTATGTTAACAAGAAGTAAAAAAAGAAGCAGAGCTAATATAAGATGAAGGGGGCTATTTCTAAATTTTACAGTAAACTATGTAATTCATCAGAAATTGGCTCAGTCCGCTCTCTTCTTTGGGGGGATACAGGGTGCTTTCCACTTCATTTCTCCAAAGCACCACTGAAGTTCTGACCCTGTGCTGGTGCACAGTGCAAAGAAAGCACAAGCTGCAAATGATTCCTCTCCTTTCCCCCTAAATCAAAGCTGGCTGTTTGCTTCCTGCTGGTCATAACCGGAGCAGTAACTTGTGCAGAAGAATCCCCAGACGGAGCCCAGGGATGGTTGCCAGAAGAGAGCCCTCGAGACCCAGAGAACTGCAGGCTGAGAGGTGGGTTCCCTTAGGGCCTCCGGCCCAGCTTCCCAGCAGGAGCCAAGTGGTACCTGGACACATCCGGGTCCTGCTTGAAGAGCAGCAGGATCTGCTGGGTGTTGAGAAAGAGCGCCCAGCATGGGAAGCAGCACAGAAGCAACATGAGCACACCCCTCTGCAGGATCACCCCCACGTGCTTCTTGTTGGGGCTGCCGAAGCTCTGCAAAACAGCCAAGCCTGGTCAGCCTGCCCACACCCTGACCCGTGTCCGTCCTTCCCTCCAGCCCCTGGGTGAGCCTGACCAGCACATCAACCTGCTGGCATCCCCAGTGTGGTGAGACCGACCTGTATGTAATGTCTCAGCGGCCGCTTCTGACACCCTTCGATGACAGCCGGGCGGCTCCCTCAGCGGGCGCTTGGCCCACTCAGAAAATGAATGCCAGGAACCCCTCCTGACAGTGACCCGGTGCCAGGCCCTGTGCCAGCCTCTGTCTGCCCACTCTCCCCAGGTCTCCCGACGTCCCTACCATGGACAGTGGCATTTCCTGTGTCTCAACAGAGACTTTGCCAAGTCACCCTCTTGGTAGGTGGCAGCCAGAATCCAGCCCAGGTCCCGGGGCCGCCATGAAACCAGAAGCCCCTTTGGGAAGATCAGCCCCCTGGGCAGGAGGACCCACCTCACCTAGCAGTCAGGATCTTTCAAAGGGGTCTGGTTCCCTGACAACACAGGGTCTCTTGAGGGTGGGAATGGGGGGATGTTCCTAGAGCCAGTCTGATGGGCTCCAGGATCCAGACTCCAGCCCCTGCCACGTCTGCAGGGTCTGGGGGATTAACCAAACTCAGAGCATCCCACCTACCTGGGACATCAAGGTGTCACATGCCGAGGAAAAGCCAAATCCTATAGAAACTCCACAGACATTGACGAACTGGAACCACACCCAGGAGAAAACACATGGGGTTTGTCCGGCAGGGTGTGAGGAGGGGGCCCTGGATCTGGGGCACGGCTGCTCAGCAGCAGCTCCCAAGTGTGGGGGCCACCCCCCTCCTCCCCCCAGCCCTGGCTACACCACAGGCCTGTGCCCTCGGGCAGGGCCGCCAGGACCCCCAGGCCCCCAGGAGGGGACGTTGTCAGCCCTCAGCTCAGATGAGCCTCCCTGTCCTGACCCACCCCACCAGGTCTGGCCCAGGGAAGACCCCGGGAGAATGTCTTTTCACAGACCGAGCTGGGTACTCACGGCCACTGCCAGGGTGGCTGCCGCCAGCTCTACCTTCCCCAGGTGCCCACAGAACACGGAGCTCACGACATAGATCATGAAGGTCAGCATCTGGAACAGGAACTGGAAGGCGCGGCCGGGTCAGGCTCAGCTCCGCAGCCCCACAGCCCCCTGCCCCTCCAGTCCGGCTTCCAGCTCAGGCCCCTGGGAAGGGGGCACCTGGAAAAAGCTCCCTGAGCCCCGGGGCAGCTCCCACCTGCGGGAAGAGAGCCTAGGGCAGGAGCAGACACAGCAAGCTGCGTGTAGACCTCCAGGCCTCTGCTTTCCACATAAAAGTGCAGGGGAGAAGCTCACGGGTGAAGCCGCATACAAACAGGAGCATCAGAGCCAAATGCTAAAATCCTAACAGTGACTTTTCCAGATGGTGGGATGACAGGTGAATTTTTTTCTCCCTTCTAACTTTCTATTTTGTTTGAAATTTTTACAAGGCACACATATTGATTAAAATGTGCATGAACTTATTTTTTCCTTTTTGGAAATAAAATGTGTCCCTTCTTTTCCCTTGGTGGGGGAGGGGGGGCACGGTCTCCCCACAGCAGGGCATCTCATTTTTCATCTCAGGGTCTTTCAGCCACTTCCCTATGGGTTTCTGAAGGACACATTCTTCCTTTCTACATGGGAGCTGGCCAGGCCCTACTCGCACCCCGGCACTGTCCAGGGCAGCTGCCCTCCCTTCCCCTGCTCTGAGAGGTGGTGGTCCAGGAGCAGCCTGGACATCACGTGAGTCTCTGGGGAAGGGTCTGAGCAGCCCCAGCGCACCTCATGCTCTGCCCATGCAGTAGCTACCCCCAACCCTGCCTGCTTACCAGGGGTCCAGAAAGGACAAAGAGTGTCCGCGCCTCAGCCCCAAAGCCGCCAGGGATTATCCTGCGGAGGGCCGGGCAGCAGACTGCTCGGGCCTGGGGGTCCATGTCCTGGAGGCTGTCCATTCCAAGCCAGGGCCGCTGGCCACTCTGCACGCTTGAGCACTCCCAAGCCAGCTAGCCCACGTCACCTTGCAGCCTGGCTAATGAGTAAGGGGTAGGAGGAGGGGCCACCACAGCCCCAGGGGCACATGGTCAGCTCCCAGGCGCGGTGGCCCTGCCATCCACCTGCTGGCCTGCCCTGACCCCAGGGAGGAGAGAGCGAGCCTGGGCCCTGCGACCCGCCCAGGCTGGTGTCTGTGGGTGCCTGTGTCTGCTCTCCTGGAGAGGCCAGCGGAGGCCTGGTCCATTGTGGGGGCACACCTAGGGCACGCTGAGGTGCGCAGCGTCTCATCTCGGTGCGCTGGGCCCTCTCTGTGCCCATCACCCTTTCGGCAGCGTCCTGAAATGCGCCTGCTCTGCCCAGTGAAGCTGTCAGTCCGCATCCCGCCATGTTGGTGCTCCTCTCTGGCCTGCCTGCTCTGCTGGCTCTTCTCTTCTATGCAGGGCTGGGGGGCACCCCTGAGGCAGGTTGGGCAATGCAGGCCACAGCCACTACCTCGCTTGGCACCCCTGGATTGCTTTGGGGTGTGGGCTCACCCCAGCAGGAGGAGCAGGTGAGGGGTCTGCAAGAGGAGCAGCAGGACATTGCGAGGAGAGGGCCGAGCTCCCACTCCACCAGCCGGCCGTGGGGGAGCTCCCATGGGGTCCCACAACACATTCTTGGGGCCACCCAGGGAGGGAGTCAGGCAAAAACAAGCAAGGAGGTGGACCCCACCCGCGCAGCTCTCTCCCCACAGGCAGCCTCCTTTGTTTACACAAAATCCTACATGGTTGAACAACTATAGCAGAGAAATTTTAGGGGGGTGGAGAGGGGGACGGGATCAAAACTGGGATGGGAAAGGTGCATGGGCCTACGGTGATGGCACACGGGTGAATTGGGGGTGGGAAGTCACGGGGACGACAGCTGAGATGGGAAAAGGCGCAAAATGAAGAATGATGTAAAATAAACAATTTTTTAAAAAGGCACTAATTTGGGATAATTCAAGCAGAAGAAGGCTGCAATGTAGGAGGGGAAGGAGGAAATAGTTATTAGCAGACGAGCTAGAAGAAAACTCCAGTCAGTCCTGAGAAGGAGAAAGTAAGGGCACCTTTGGACCCAGGGCTTTCAGGGGTGAGCTCCGGAGGTGACTCAGCTCCAAACGCCTTTGGTCTAGAGACCAATCCCGGAGAGCCTGGGAGGGCCCACCACCGGTGGGATGAGAGGGACGGGGCGGGGTGGGGGGGAGGCGGGCGAGGTGTGGGCCCCTGGGATGGGCGCTGGGTCACCCCGAAGGGTGGGTGCTGTATGGACGCTTAAAGAGCCGTGGTTTGTCCATCCCGCTTTGGTTCTCCTTTACCACTCACAAATGACCCCAAAACTTTGTGTCTTGGAGCAACCACCAATTGCCCCCTGAGGGCAGCGGGTGGTGGTTTTGCTCCACCTGGTGTCGCTGTGTCTGTGCAGAGTAACAGCAGCGGGGGGCAGGGGGTGCAGGGCTCAGCTGGGCTGGCTGGCCGTCATGTGACAAACTTGAACCCTCCTTGACAGGCTGTCCCGGGCAGCTTGGGCTTCTCAGTGTGGAGGTGGGGCCGACAAGGAGCATTCCAGGAGCATGAGTGGTGGTGACGTCCATGTTATGGGAAGTTACAGACCCTTCGGCCTGGCTCTGTGGGTCAGAACTAATTGTGGCTGGCCCTGGCTTCACGAGAGAGGAAGCAGCCTCCACTGTGACGGAGGAATAGCCGAGAAGGCTGACTTGCCCGAGGCACACAGACGCACCAGCTCTCCCCCTCTTTCTACCCATCTCCATTCTCTTTCTGCTGTCTCCTCTCCTCTGTCCAACCCACTTCCCACACCTCTGTCTGGAGCGATAACCGAGCAGATAAAGTCTCTTGCACTTAGGGGAGAGAGGGCACAGGCCTACTCGGGATCTTCACAGGGAGAAGGACCCAGAGCTTTGTCTGGGAGTGGTAGGAGGTGTGGGGAGCAGGGAAAGGGAGTGGCAGGCCATTGCAAAGTCGTCCCACACAGCCTGGAATGAAGGAGGCTTCCAACCAACAAGGAGGAGCTGGCTCTAATACACCTGCCTTGAGGTATTTGGGGCAGGCCAGAAAGGCCCAGCAATCATGGGATGAGCAAGCAGGTTTGGAGTAAGCCCAGAAGCCGCCAGCCCAGGCAGAAGGGGTGGCCCCACAACCTGAGGCACCAGGGAGGGGGCAGGGAGGTGCTGTCAGGCTCCCTGCTTGGCACTGACCAGCTGCAGCTGGGGGCACAGACCCCTCCTGAACTCCTGCAGCTCTGGAAGGACAAATCCTACTCAGGGTGGGCCTGGGCCTGATCCTGGGGTCCTAACCTCGAGTAACTGATTGCTGGGGTCCTGCCGGACAGGCGGGGCCAGCACTTCTGCTAACCTCTTCTCACTTGGTTACATTTCAATAGGCCCCAAATGACTGCGTTTGCCCTTTGATCACCTTGAGCCACGTACCCCTAGGCACAGCCAAAGTCCCTCTCTCCAAGCCCTCCTCACTGACCCATGACTGCAAAACACCAGTTCTCTGTGGGGGAGGGTGGGGACTCTGGCCTTTAGTGCCCTCAGTGCCACATACACCTCAGGGCAAAGGACAGTTGGGCAAGGCCAGCTGCCTGCCTCCTGGCTGTCCCCAGGTCTTGTACTGAGTGATGACCAATGTCTGCAAAAGGCCTGTGTCACCCCTGACACCCCTAGATTCTGGAATCACCTCTTAGGTTCTGGCAGCTGCTGCCTTCTCTCTGCCCCCACCCAACACCCCCTTCCGGGCCCCCTTCCCCTCTTCACTAGGCACCTATCTAGTGCTCTGGGTGAGGGCAGGGGAGACAGAGCCAGCTGGCAAAGCCTCAGCGGAGTGCCAAAGGTGGTGGGGGTTGTCCAGCTGGAGGAAGGTTCACCAGAATAAAAATGCATATCACTAGCACTAAAAAGAAATGTGCTATCAAAGCATTAAAAAAAAAATCTGAAGTGCGTATCCCTAGGTGAAAGAAGACAGTTTGCAGAGGCTACACTGTATGGTTCCGACTATAGGATGTTTCTGGAAAAGGCAAAACCATAGAGACAGTGAAAGACCAGTGTTTGTCAGAGAGAAAGGGATGAAAGGGATGACGCGGCAGAATACAGAGGACTTCTTTAGGCGGTGAAATTATTCTCTATGATGCTTTCACGGTGCATCCATGCTGTTACACACTTGTCCATAGAACATACCACAGCAAGAGGACCCTAATATAAACGATGAACTTCAGTTGATAACGCTGTGTCCATTAAACATTGTTTTATCAATTACAACAACTGGGCCCCATTAATGCAAGATGCTAAAAATAGGGGCAACTGGGACGGAGGAACGAGACATGTGGGAATTTACACTTTTGGAACAATTTTTCTTTAAACCAAAAGCTGGGGCTTAAAGAAAACTGCTTTAAAAAAAAAAAAAAACAAAAAAAAACGCCCATGAAGAAGTGATGGGCTAAGTAATATGAATGATTAACATTTTCTGAAGTTTCTAAGGAAAATGCCTTCCTCTCACACACAGGTTAGAGACAGTGGTGGCCACACAGGTGTCCAAAAGTGGAGCCCACCCAGGGGTCCAACAACTGATAAAAAGATGGGGAACCTAGGGCTGGAGGGAGTGATGGCAAACACCCACCACGGGGTGCAGGAGCGCTGCACTAAGAGGAGGCACTCACATCCGTCCTTGGGGTTGGGCGTTAGAGCTGCCAGGGGGGGCGTGTGGCGGGTCTGGCTGCAGACTGGTCTTTCTTTGAGGGCCAGAGTGGAAAGAAGAAACCTCCCCTCCCCCAGCCTGGCTGGCACCAAGCTCCAAGGAGGTGGGCAGCAAAGAGGAGAGACTTCTCCTTTCCGGCCCAGGTTGCCCCTTTCCTCCCGCAAGATTCCAGGACCTCAGTGCTGGTAATAATAGAGGTTTCTCCTTTGCCTCTCACCCACCTGTGTCCTCCTTGATCAGAGGTTGGTCATTTCTGTATGCAACTAGGCCCGCTTGTCTTTTTGTTATTGTTGTTCCTGCCTTAGGTGAGACAGGAAGTGTCCTGTGAAACAGAGGCTGTCACTGACAAGCACATTTTCTTCTTGAGTGCCTCCCACGTACCAGATAGCATCCCAGGAGCTGCCTTGTGTGAGTGATGTGCTCCTCCCCAGAGTGGGGGAACCTGTTTCCTGAAGAAGCCTGGGGCGGAGGCTGGAGGGGCCTTGCTCTGTGGTGGGGACTGGTTATCAGGCCTCTGATATCCAGAGCCCTAAAGTGGTCCGGCTCATCCCCAGACCATCCCCTTTGTCCCCCACCGAGGCCCTCACCACCAGGACCCCAGAGGCCCTCTTGGGTCTGAACTTCAGTTCCAGCTTCTTTAATAGGAGAAAGAAAATACATTATATAACCAGAGTTAAATGAGAATTGGACTAAATTCTGATGCTGTCACTCATTCTCTTTGACGTGTTCTTCCTTTGTAATAAAACCTGACTAGAAAGCGTAATTCAAAATAAGTTCTTTTTAACCTCACAGAAAATATTGAGACAAGAATTAAGTAGGTTAACATACATGGCAGTGACTGCAACTTAACTGACAACTCATCTTAGGTCACCTTCTCCCTCCCTCCCTCCCTTCCTCCCTCCCTCCTTTCTCTTTCTCTCTTTTTTTTTTTTTTTTTAAATTCTGGCCCTTGACTCCTAATGTTTTAACAATATAGACTATAATTTTTTTAAAGATTTATTTATTTATTCATACAGAACTGGGGTACAGGCCAGAGATGCGGAGGGTGAGAGGATACACCAGAGACAGAGTGGGGAACAGAACAGGCAGATCGACGAAGTACACTGCTGAGGGGAGCAGTGGGCGGGTCAGGAGAGGTCTGCCGCCATGTGGTCACTTCCGGGGCAGGCGGAAATCGAACTCATGCGGAAGCGGCTTTAGATTCTCAGTGCTGTGCTTTAACCCGCTGCGCC